GAGAGAGAGAGAGAGAGAGAGAGAGAGAGAGAGAGAGAGAGAGGAAGAGAGCGTAGGATCAGCGCTTGAGCGAAGGAGATGTCGAGAAAGTACGAATATATTCAATTATCGCGATATATCACGTTGTAAATATCGGAAAACGAACCGACTAGAACCCTTCCTTTGGATTCTGTACATAAACTCGGGCGACGAGACGAGGAGAAGAGAGATGAGTATTCAGCTATTTTCTTAGACATTTGTAGCAAAGCCTAAACTGCCTGACCATAATCGTATGTCGAACGAGAGATTAGAGCTTGTAGGTAGGTGTAAGGTTTAACACACAGCCGATTGAGGAATTGAAAATCGGAATGTCTCGTCGCGTGTCGGAACAGCGTTTTCTTCTCAAGTTGCGTTACTTTCATTTCAAAGCGATCTTAACACTTTGATCGTACGTTAATGCGCGCACGTGTCTCTCTTCAATGATTCACGAGCGATGATTCGAGTGGTGTTTGGAAGCTGGATCAATCATCGGAGTATAAACGATGAGCTCTCGAGTGGAGCGAAAAGTGAAGCGATTAATTGCGCGCAGACGAGCGTCGTACACGTGTCAAGTGACGATCAAAGTGTAAAGAGGACCGATCCAGTGCGGCAGTTGTCTTTTTATCGTTTTTGTACTTACAAATTATATCGTGTGTAATTTGTGCATTTAATAGAAAAATTCTAAGCGTAATCATTATACTTCGACGACGATATCGATTCTTTTTAAACGCCAATGTGATTGAATGGCAGAAGAAAAAAAAAAAAGGAAAGCGCACGACTCATCGAGGTAACCGTGTGATTTTGTTGTACATATTGATTCCGATCATCGCTTGAACGTAAGCACGTAACACTTACGCGATCGATGAAGTTGTTGACACCGGGGAGATCGCGATCTCCCGTTTGTACATGATTTTATACTTGCATGACCGATTTTAATGCGAACAACGCGGCAAGCGAGAAAAACCGAATACATATACACACCCACACAAGTGCGTCATACCGTTCTCTCTTTTTCAGACACGCGAAATAACTCCTCCCCTCCCCCTCCCCCCCTCCTCCTCCCCTCTTCACCGTTGTACATACGTAATGTGGGAAAAAGAATATTTTTTCTATACTCTTTCCTTGTGCGCGCGTATGATAGATAATATGCAAAGTGTAATATCGTATTACATGAAAGTTATATCATAATTTAAGGGCTTCTGCCGGATATCATACATTGTATCGCGAACATTTGTAATCAATATACGTCGTTATGTTTTATTTTCACACGTGGCTCACAGTGATTCGCCCTCTCTCGCTCTCTCGCCCACCTTCCTTTCTTCCTCTCTCCCTCTGAAGTCGAATCTCTTCGGCCCGCAATTTTCCCTAATTAAATCAAGAGTCTTAGGCAGTGTTTTGTAGTGTATCTAGATACATTTATTTAATTACAGTAGATGTTTATCTAATTACAGTATCTAGATACTTTTTGTGTATCTTTATCTACTAGTTAGATTATTCATTTCAGTAACTATCTGTAACTAATTTCATCTTACTTTGTACATGTATCTAAAGTGTTAAACTTGCAGTTACTGAAATGAAAAATCTAACTAGTTACAAATAAAGATATACAGAAAGTATCTAGATATTGTAATTAGATACATGAATTTACTGTAATTAGATAAATATATCTACTGTAATTAATAAATGTATCTAGATACATTGGAACACTGGTCTTAGACCACTATTAACATTTGTTATTTGAAACTTGTTTCAAGTAAAATATTTAGATCTAAATTCATAGTTATATGTGTGAATTTTTTTCAGTAGATTCACAATTACAAATAGAATGTCACATATATGATTGAATTGGAGAATTCAGATCCAAGTGTCTCATATCAGAGACAAGTTTTCAATAACGATTGTTAATGCAATGTATACAATTTATTTATTCAAATTAAATTTGAAGTTAGTGTAAACTTTTCAGAATCCCGATTTCTTTTTCTAAAAAAAAGTATGTAAGAGATTTAATTGTTGCCGCTTTTCCGCGATGCTGATTGGTTCTCTCGCTTAGCTCACTTCATGAGGGCTGCGGCTTGCTTCGTGTCATTTGCGCCTGTCAAATTACCAAGCAAATAGCTGTCATCACGTTGGTTAGATCACGAAAAAAAATACAGAAGAAATATGTCTCTCCCTGCCTCTCCCTGTCTCTCCCCGTCTCTCCCCGTCTCTCCCTGTCTTTCCCAATCTCTCTCCATCTCTCCCTGTTTCTCCCTGTCTCTCCTGTCTCTCCCTGTCTCTCCTCGTCTCTCCCCGTCTCTCCCCGTCTCTCCCTGTCTCTCCCTGTCTTTCCCAATCTCTTTCCATCTCTCCCTGTTTCTCCCTGTTTCTCCCTATCTCTCCCTATCTCTCCCTATAATTATTAATTAATTAAAGTATATTTTAATTTAATTTAATTTTTATTTAATTTTTATTTTATATTTTTTATTGTTTCTTATTAGCTATATGAGGCGCGCGTAGCGCGCGCATGTATTGTTCTATAAAAATAGAATGTCGTGTATACGGTTTATTTGGAAAATTCAGACCGAGTCACGCGAAAGAAGTTTGAAGTAACGACTATAGGCGATTTTTGGCGATCGTTTGGTACATGTACCAAGATTGATATTGATAGAGGTGGCATTTTTGGTAGGCATTTTTGCTGCTCTGCACGGGTGGATTCGTCGTGTTTTTAATCTATCCTTTGAGGTTAAGAATTACACCTATAATAATCGCAAGCGGTCCGAAATGAAATCATTGTTAGCGCGCTCACATTTCGAACCGATCGTAAATCTCGATCGTAAGCACTTGGTCTGTTCTTTCGCTCTGTACTGCTGCAATAAGTTAGAGTGAGACAAATATATATTTGTCTCACTCTAATTTATTGCATCAGTCACCGACGAGGTGACTATAAAAGACCGTCGGCCTTACGAGCTTTAGCGACCCCGAGAAATCTGACCGTACATTTTATATTTCACCTTTTTCTTATATCCTATATTCTTATCTGTTATCTACTTACATTGTCTTGTCTCTTTCTACGATCTCTGTCAATACGATTTTTTTTTCTACGTCTGTCAATACGATTTCGACACAATGCTGCATCCAGTTCTATATGTCGATGGTGTACTCTTACGAAAAAAATACGAAAAAACCCTTAATTTTGGGTGTAAACACCCAAAAACTGGGGATCAACACCTAAATTTGAGTGTTAACACCCAAAATTGAGGATTTTTTTGTATTTTTTTCGTAAGGGTAGTCACACGACAGACAGAAGCGTTTTTGTATGAAAAACAGTCGGTATTGTCATCGTTCTTTAATTACCTCTGGGCCCCTCTGGGCCCCTCCGGGCCCTTTGGCGAGTCGAAAATTTACCCAGGGCTGACAGTCTTTAGTAATATCTCGTCGGTGCAGCAGTGCAGAGCAAAAGAACAGACATATTATTAGCGTCGTGAGCATATTTCGGACCGCAGCCATTAACACACATATGTTCTTCTCAGCTGCACTGCTGAACTGATGCAATAAGTTTAAGTGAGACAAGTATACTTTTTCTAACTTATTGCATCAGTTCAGCAGTGCAGCTGAAAAGAACAGACCAATGATTTGCTCGTTCAAATGAAACGCGAAGAGAATTCACGCGAACGTCGACCTCCCCGACGTGTCGTTCTGTCGAATGGAAAGTAAACGTCTACGCCATCGTGATCGGAAGGCTCGAAATTGACGTCTCGTGATCAGGCGAGGATACCGCGCGAGAAGTTCTCGCGGCGGACCGCGCCGATGACCGCTCGACGACAGACCGCGCGCGCGCGTGAAAGGGTCGAAGAGTCTGAGCGCGAGGTCGAGGTTAGGTTAACGCGGGCACGCGATCGACGGAATTCCCAACTTCGAACCGATAACGGAAAGGGTCGAATTTCGTGTTTTGCGACTCGGGCAGCAGAAGCCACGAGGAATTCAACCGGTGGACCGGGGCTACGGTCTCGAAACGACGGAAATTCACGAGAAATGGCGACCACTTACTCGGAGAGCACGTGCGCGCGGAGGGTTGGGTCGGCGGGGCGGCGTGATTGATGGCATCTGCCGAGGGAAAATCCTCCGTCCGGCACCAGGAGTGTACGCGCAGGAGTCAGGCCCCGTGGGGATGGCCGAGCGCGCTCGGCTGATCAACCGAAACGACGAAATTCGACGGGTTTCGTCGACCGGCTACGGGGAGAGCATGTCGGGCCGGCGCGTGACGCGCCGTTCGGCTCGCACGGCGGAAATTCCCGAGGATCGACGATCGGCCAGCAGGTTCGCACGCGGCCGAGCAGGTGGCAGCGCGGCTCGGCCGGAGCGACGGAAATTCCCGAGAGCCGACGGTCCCGTGTCAGGAGCGCACAGCTCGCGAGCTGGTGACACGGACGCGCCCGGTGAAACGACGGAAATTCACGAGTCCCGACGGACGGGTGTCGGGGAAGCACACGGCCGAGCGGGTGGTCGGTCGATAAAAGGCGATTGTATTCGTCACCGCGTGCGCCGGAGAATGAAAAGGCTTTGAAATTCATGTGTCGGTGGCGGGAGATCATGAGTGAGCAGCAGGTGAGTCGAGACACGGGCGGTGTTGTGATTGATGAGAGAGCACTCCGCGGATTTCGAGGCGAGCGGATTTAACACACGCTCGCACGCCGCGCTCGACATCACTCACGGATTCAAATGGTTTCAGAAGGCAGCTGGCATCGGCACGGTCGGCTGACGGTAACGCGCTTTGGTATCAGGAGTTTATGACGGATGGAGAGGTTAGGTCGGCCGCTGCGGCGTCCGCACGCGGCAAATTTCAAAAGAGGTGTGGGACACGGTTTAGACGCTGCGAAGTTGGCAGATCAGACTATCAAAATTAAGGGTCATTACCGTGATTAGGTTAGATTTACTCAGTGTAACTAATAATATGTATACAGGGTGGCGCAAAAGAAACGAACTGGTTTAAAAAATTCATTACTTACTCTAGAGAGAGCAAGACTGCGAGACAGAAAATGGAGGACATTTGCGCGACGTAGGTTTCACAAATAGCTTCAAAAAATTTTCGTAAATTAGACTTCATAATTCCATGTCGAAATGAAAATTTGAAAATATAATTTTTATAAATGTTCGCTTCTTTTCCACTACTCTATATATATATTTAGTAATATAATCAATAATATAAAATATTAAGTAATAATATTTAATAATCTATTTTTTAAGAGACCTAACATATAATATAAAATAAATAATAAAAAATAAGTAATTATAATAATAATAATAATATCAATTAATAACAATAATAATAACATAATTACTGCAACAGATGGTAGCAGTAATGACAGTAATGACAGTAATGAGATCCCAGTTTCACCGTGTCTGAACTATTTTGCAACTAGGTAAGTGTAAATGACCGAAATACAATAAAAACGCGTTTCTTAGTAAAAATAAAACCTCCTCGCTCTCGACTATTCATTATTTATGCAATACAATACAAAGTTCGCACGATGCATTTTACAAAAGATGCGTATTATTAATTAAAATACGTAACAAATGTTACATATGTATATAATCGCTATTTACAAGTTATTACGAAATATATTTACAAGAGTTCTCTCCGTCTATCCTGGAGAACGCGTAGTTACAAATAAACTTGTAACATTAACGCCCGATTTTCACCAAAGACTTAAGCTAGAGTTAAGATTTATTCGACGTTTTAAGACGTTGATGGAAACGAGCCTGAGATAATTAGAGTAAGAAAATATTTTGTTGTGTATGAAATTGATAAGAGTACATATGTTGTTGTGTGTGTGTGAGATAACTATTATAAAGAACTCACGTCAATCTGCGTTGGAAACCGCGTCATTGGGAATGTCCGTAATACTGAAGAAACATTTGGCGACGACAAACGCGAAGTAATATCTTCGTAATCGATACTAATTACAATCATCGATCGACGGAATTGATTGCATACTCCGCTTATTGACTGTATAAAATAAATAAATAAGCTTGCTCGAGACAAGCTGGTGTTGTAAATTCACATAAAGATCATCACTGTTATTTCAATGTTGTGTCCGCTTCGAAGTTTTCTCAAATTTTCCGCTAAAGGCACATGCGCTCGAGCGCGACATTGTTTATCACACATTGATCCGATTGTTTTTCGGGATTTTTTACACCCTTCTCCAGATTCTCCGCCGACAATTCCAGGCAAAAGTTGTCGTAAGCGTACGCGTTCGCGACGATATTCGATTGCTTCTCCTCCGAGATCGACACGAATCTCTGGAGAGTGATATTTTTCGGCTGCGACCACACGTTGGAGAAGATCCTGCTGGTGTCCGATTCGTCGCCGCTCGTCTTGTTGGCGAACTTCATCTCGATGTCGTCCAGACTGCGTCCTCGGGTCTCCGGTAACATCGTCACGGCGAAAGTGGCACCTAGCAGGCCGGCCGCGGCGAATATCCACATCGTGAACTCCAGACCGACGATCGTGTTCAGGTCCGGATACGTCTTGATCGCGACGAACGTCAGCATCTGCCCGATGCTGGTCGTCAAGCCGCCTAAACTTCCACGGAACCTCAGCGGATACAACTCCGAGGTCATCACCCAGGGCAACGTGAGGAAACCGATCATGGACGCGCCCACGTGAGTCCCGATGCACAATAAAGGCACCCACGACGGAAGGAAGGAGCTGAAAATTCGGGGAAGAAATCGTATCGACGGTTAAAGAGATCAAAGAGTGACGGGACAGCGTCAAACGATTCGGCTTGTCGTCAATCGAATGGAGAAAAAACGAAGATCTTATTTTTAGGGAATTGAAATTAAACACAAATTAATAGAATCAAATGGAAGTAGAAATGAGAAACAATAAGAAACAGAAGTTAAAATAGAAATATAAATATCCAATGTAAGAGAAATCATGAAAGTTGAGTGTCAAAAGAGTCGAAGTGGCGAACCTGGAGGAAAGAGCGACTCCCGCGGCCGCGATGGCCATTCCGAATCCGCTGACGAAGGCCAAGGTCTTTCTGCCGATGTTGTTGGCCAGCCCAGCGCCGAGAATCGACGCGAACAACCTGATGACACCTACGCCGACGCTGGCCGCGTATTCGTTGACGTCTATGCCGGTGTCTTTAAGCATATTCACGACGTAAAAGAGGATTACATAGATGCCCGATAGTTGTTGGAGAGCGAAGAAAGCGAGGAGTATCAGGAACGGTTTCCACACGTTGGGCATGTGCAGCGCCCGCAGCAGGCTCTCCTTCTTCTCCTTCCGCTTCAAGTTCGTCTCGCAGAGCTCCTGATATTCCTTGTCGGTGTTGAATCCAGGACCACGTAGCCACAGAAGGGCCTCCTTGGCCTCAGCCGTTCGACCTCTCGCTGCCAGCCAAACCGGGGTTTCTGGCAGCATTCTGCGGAAGAGTCATTTGTCCAGTGACACTCGCGATCATGAAGAGCCGTAAGGGGAGCTGAATATCAATTTCTTACCAGAAATATTCGAGGTATGGAAATCTCGAGATTTTTCACAGGCCATTTGTGGGGGAAAGTCAACGTAATGTATAAAGAAATGTAATTACCGAGTTAACGCGAGCGACAAGATCGCGGGTCCGACGCTGATGGCGGCTGTCCTCTGCCACGTGGTGATAGCACCCAGCGTGTACACCATCAGCACGCCCAACGAGACCAGAATTGGCCCGCAGCTCGCGAGCCAAGCTCTCTGGTCCGGCGCTGCCGTCTGAAACAAACATATAGATAGGCCGAAAGAAAAGAAACATTATTGTAATCTAAAGTTAAAGATTATAGTAATTATATATAAAATCGGACATTAACATATATATTATTTTTCTGTCAATGTTAAAAGGTCTGCAAACCACGTTACGGATGAAAAAAATGATCGTCTTCTTTACAGTAATGAATTTATGGATTTATCACATCCTTCACCTTTCGCTGACCCCAGATTACCCGCGCATCCGCACGTACCTCGCTGACGTAGAGATAAAGTCCGTTGGCCATCCCAGTGCCGATGCCGCTGACGAATCTGCCGGCGTACAACATCGGCACGTTCTTCGATAGCGCGATCAGCAGCCAGCCGGCGACGTGCGGCAGCGTGGCCAGGACGATCGCGAATCTACGGCCGAGGCATTCGGCGCAGAGCCCGGCGACGAGGGCGCCGAGGGGATTCGACACGACGCCGAGGGAAGCGATCCAGGAGGCCTGCGACTGGTCGGCGAAGTCGGTCTCGAAGAGCTTCGGCAACAGGATCGCGCTGTATCCCTGGGACAGTCCCACGGAGATCTGACCCGTGTGCGCCGCCAAGCCCGCGAGCACCTGCGAATTCCGGATAAGCCAATGAAACCTTCACCGTATATGTAGACGTGTGAAGACGCGTCTCACACAACACGTCTCAAGGATGTCCTAAAGACGTCTTACTTCTTTTAAATCTCTCTTATCCCTTGTCCCAGTTGATTATTTTTAAAATAATCGATTGTGGTTGGTCAATTTCTTACGGCTTAAAGATTAAAACAAGGTTAGACGTTTTTAAGGGCTCACTCTATGTAACTTCTAAAAGTTTCTAAAAGAGATTTAAAAAAAGTAAGACGTCTTTAGAATTGTGATTTAAGGGGTTACACCATTCTAGCATCCGAATTTTTTGTGGGCAAACAAAATAATCGAAAATCCGTTTAGAAAGCTTTATTATACATGTTTTAAAATGTATAATCAAAGTTTTATGTTACAATATAACACAAAATGGCGGTGCTAGAGCCTTGTCAACATGAGCGTGTTTTTCGGGACGGGGCTTGCAGTATAAGTGTCGCAAATGTTAATCTAGAACAAAAAATCAACATTTTTCGTTATCTACATACCAATAGCTAAAGAAGTACGTAGGGGATTTTTTAAATATTTATTTTTATAGAAATGACACGCATTTGTAGAAAAAGTTTCATTTTGTACTCTAAACATTTCATCGAAAATTGTTTATAAAATGCGTAATTTTTAATATATCAAAAATTCCCTACGTACTTCTCTAGCTATTGGCATGTAGATGACGGAAAATGTTGGTTTTTTGTTCTAGATCAACATTTGCGACATTTATGCTACAAATCCCGGAGTCTCGTTCCAAAAAACACGCTCATGTCGACAAGGCTCTAGCGCCGCCATATTGTAACACAAAAATTTAATTATACATTTTAAAATATGTACAATAAAGCCTTCCAAACGGATTTTCGATGCATTTCTTTATTTGTCCACAAAAAATTCCCAAAAATACGCTTAATTTTCGGACGAAATTAGAGTGGTGTAATCCCTTAATATCAATTCGACGACGATCTTCTTTCTTGTCACTATAAATTAGTGCAAGTCATTGTAATGGTACATCCTATATCTCTTCCCGCGCGGTTAAGAAAATTATTATTATCATTATAGGGCTAGAAAGTTACTCTAAAAATAATTCGTCATCGTCATCATTATCCTGCAATATTCGTTATGTAGAAAAATATAATCGCGTTAGCGTTATCATTACTGATAGGAGGGAAATAACGGCGTTACCAAACAGAGGTAACTCGTAACGGCGACGACAAGTCCCAAGTAACGTGTTACAACGTAGAGAGAGTGTCAGGAATTATATATTATCGCGTATTAGCCGTGCATTAGATCCCATCGCTCCGCTACTCTTTGCGCTATCGTGCGAAAAATCGCGTGTCGTGCCGGCGGCGGTGCGAAAGGCGGCGAAAGGAGTACGCGGAATGCCATTGCGATCGTGCGCCAACTTCAAAAATCTTGCGGCGTCGCGCGAACGAGCGAAGGACGAGGATCGAGAAGAAGGCCGGGATCTCTACCTCCGCCTCCGCGGACTTATCCATTCATTTATTTGATCGTCTCTCCCCTTCTTCGGCCTCGCACGACGAGGTCTGCTCGTTCCCTTCGGACGATCGCGATTGTTATCCCACGACGAGCGTCTAACGGATCGAGACGTACGGCGGAATCGCGCGAGGAGCAGGAAACGCAGCCTCTCCCTCCCGCTCCTCTCCACCCCGCCGTTTCATTCTCACTTCTTCACCGCATTTCTATTGTATATTATTATCTTATTTTTCTCCGTTTCTCGTGTTATTACACACAATGCGTCCTTCGAGCGTTCCGCGCATTTTATTGTGTAATCCGGCGTCGCCTCTTCCTCGTACCTTCAATCGCCCCCGCCGACGTTCATCGACATTTCATCGAGACACGAGAATTTCAACAGGAATGTCGCGTGCCGCCGTACATTCCGCCTACTCGACTCAATTAAACGCTCTAGGTATTTTTCTTCACGCCGTTTAACATGTATTATATCACATTGTCCGGTTACCGAAGATTATTAGCCGCACACGCACACAAGATAGACGGAGATGCCGGAATTAGACACGGAACAGTGCAGTCGCGCTTAATCGTAAGGTCGTTAATTGCAAAAGCGCCAAGGCGGAATCAAATGCCTTACACCTTTCTTGTCGCCGGCCTGGAGATACTTCCACCAGAGCCTCACTTGGGTGATCATCGTGCAGCTTGGAACGCTCGGCCGGGCAACTGTAAAAACGAATAAGGCGATTAGCGGCAGTAAATGACGTTACGTAAAGGCTGCTCCGATGAATAACGCTTGTCTCTCGCGTCTGTTTATTCACGAAGCCTCGATACACTCTCCAAATTCTCGTAGTGAAAATCCATTCAAGACGAGCGAATGTCTCATTCAAAACGAGCGGGTCGTGCAATTAGCGCGAATTTGTGATACGGTGAAGCGCGTTGAATTCACTTCTCAATTACGAATGAAAATATTCTCTCGATAATTCAGAGTAGGAAATTTAAAAAAATAAGTTAATCTAAAAGTAAATTAATAATAAATTGAAAATAACATGATTGCACTGAGAAAAAAAATTTATTAAATTTCAAAAAAACGTTTGTTCGGATACAACTGTGAACATATTTGTTTAAATTAAGTAATTATTTTCTAAAAATAAATGAAGAAGTTTTAAATATAAATTTCTTTCTTTGATTTCAGGATTTTAATTATTTTCTAAAATTAAATAAAGAAGTTTCATATATAAATTTCTTTCGTTGATTTTTTATATAAGAAGTATAATTATTTAATTTAAACAAATATGTTCGCAGTTATATCCAAGCGTTTTTTTTAAATTTAATGAAGTTTTTCTCAGTATGGCTCTTATATGATTGCACTGAGAAAAAAATTTATTAAATTTTAAAAAACGTTTGTTCGGATACAACTGTGAACATATTTGTTTAAATTAAGTAATTATTTTCTAAAAATAAATGAAGAAGTTTGAAATGAAGAACTGTGAACATATTTGTTTAAATTAAGTAATTATTGTCTAAAAATAAATGAAAAAGTTTTAAATATAAATTTCTCTCTCTCTTTGATTTCAGGATTTTTATTATTTTCTAAAATTAAATAAAGAAATAATATTAAGAAATTATATATAAATTTCTTTCTTTGATTTTATATATAAGAAGTGTAATTATTTAATTTAAACGAATATGTTCACAGTTGTATCCAAACAAACGTTTCTTGAAATTTAATACATTTTTTTCTCAGTACATACATAAATAATTGCGCTAGTCAGATTCATTGTTGAATTTGATTGACACAATCAGGCTTTTATGTACAGGTCAACCATTTACCTCGACGCACACATGCACACGGATAATTGCGCGATTCCGATCTGCGCGACGAAAAGCGTTCATTTACCTCGACGTATCGATTATGTCTTATGTAAGGATAACCATCTCCGCGGACGTTTCCATCACGCGATGGAAACACGGAGATATCTCCTCGGACTAACTAATTCCACATTAACGCTCCGTTCATCGCGCGTTTGCACAACTTATCGGCGACCATGCGATCTTAATCTGTTATTCAGCATTCGCTAATGTTCCATTGTCGCTCATGCATGACTCTATGCATGATCAGAGTTTCCTGATTTCGCGACGAATTACAAATTCGGAATCACGCAGGAGAATTTTTGATTTCATGATTTTAATTATTTTCTAAAATTAAATAAAGAAGTTTTAAATATAAATTTCTTTCTTTGATTTCAGGATTTTAATTATTTTCTAAAATTAAATAAAGAAGTTTTAAATATAAATTTCTTTCTTTGATTTCATGATTTTAATTATTTTCTAAAATTAAATAAAGAAGTTTTAAATATAAATTTCTTTCTTTGATTTCATGATTTTAATTATTTTCTAAAATTAAATAAAGAAGTTTTAAATATAAATTTCTTTCTTTGATTTCATGATTTTAATTATTTTCTAAAATTAAATAAAGAAGTTTTAAATATAAATTTCTTTCTTTGATTTCATGATTTTAATTATTTTCTAAAATTAAATAAAGAAGTTTTAAATATAAATTTCTTTCTTTGATTTCATGATTTTAATTATTTTCTAAAATTAAATAAAGAAGTTTTAAATATAAATTTCTTTCTTTGATTTCATGATTTTAATTATTTTCTAAAATTAAATAAAGAAGTTTTAAATATAAATTTCTTTCTTTGATTTCATGATTTTAATTATTTTCTAAAATTAAATAAAGAAGTTTTAAATATAAATTTCTTTCTTTGATTTCATGATTTTAATTATTTTCTAAAATTAAATAAAGAAGTTTTAAATATAAATTTCTTTCTTTGATTTCATGATTTTAATTATTTTCTAAAATTAAATAAAGAAGTTTTAAATATAAATTTCTTTCTTTGATTTCATGATTTTAATTATTTTCTAAAATTAAATAAAGAAATTTTATATATGTAGATAGAGACCGCCGCTTTGGCTACGGGACTTCTTGCCCCCTCCTCTTTCTTTTTCCCTCAATTACTCTCACACGTTTAACGCGATTTAACCCATTAGCGCGGCGCGAAAATTAGAGTCCAATCTTATCTCGTTCTTATATCGCTCGCGCATTCATTCATTCATTACGACGCCTCGCGCAATTTCAGCGCGCGTATCTCGCCTCGCCTCGACTTGCCTCGCGTTTATTTGATAAGATCGACGCCGATTAATAAACGACGTTATAAATCTGCCGGCAAATGTCAGCGTGCAGATTCTCATGCTGTTGGCTGTGTGCGCGCGCCTCGACGCGAGGACGCGTCGGCACGAAGTCGTGAGGTCGCTTTATTAAATTGATCGCGAGTGGATTAAGGGCCTTGAACGACGATTGCCCTTCCCGTTCGTTGTTTCTCCGCTCGATCTCTCGGGCTATCTATCTGCCAGTCGCGGCGACAAAAATAACGGTAACGCGACGGAAAAAAAAAGAGCGAGGAGATATTTTGGTGAACAGGACGATCGTCTTGAAAAAAAAGAAATTCGAAAAGTGGAACAATTTCTTGAAAAGTCCATATTCTGAAATTCAAATATTTAGGATAATCTCTTGATATGCACAACTTGCACTTAGAAAAAATACATGAGAGTTTATTTGCGAGATAAATATGATATAAATATTTAGGGGTTTTGTTCACAGAAATAAACACGATTGGAAAATTAATAAAGACAATTGCATGTTTCCAATACACTGAGAGAAAAATACTTGAAAATTTATTTGTGGGATATAAGGTTTATTTCGCACAGAATAAAGTTTATTTTGCCGATAAATTTTCATAAATAAATTTTCAAATATTTTTTTCTCAATGTATTGTGCCGAATTATTTGGGAGATCCTGATAGCCGAATTTAGAGATTATAATTTTTTGATACTTTTTTTTTTAATAATCTTATTTTATTATTTTATTTCGCCAATAAATTTTCATAAATAAATTTTTAAATATTTTTTCTCAGTGTATTGTGCCGAATTATTTGGAAGATCCGGATAGCCGAATTTCTGATACATTTTTTTCTAATAATCTTCTTGTTTTTAGAATTTTGATTTTCCGGGATAACGTATGCTCACTCTTAGACTTTAGACAGCGCGAGTAACCGCAGCTCAGAAGCCAACATCTGCAAGATGATTACATAGGCGGAATCAGATGTGCGATCGGGCAAAATGATGAATTAAAAATCGCAAATTACGCGCTGCGTATTCTGGTTTCCGGCTTACGAACACGACAAGTGCACATTGCATATCGCGACCGCTGGCGTGCTGTAACGCAATTATACGGATCAAGAATATTCGACGCAGCTTACCAGACAATATCCGTCGTCCATCGTCATATGAATACGCGAAAACTTGGTTAACGAGCACGTATACGAATGTGCGGATTCATGATTTCGAGACTCGCGTATGGCAGCAATCATTTTTGTTTTTACAGTCTCGAAAATAAATCATAATACGTGTGAGTATTAAATATATAACAAATCAGTATATATTCAATTATAATTATGTATCATTACATATTATATAATTATTTATATATATATAATTTCGTTTTAAATAATTACATGGAAAACGGAGGAGGTGGGAAGCACTCTGTGAACGATTTTCCAGATAAAGAGTAGTCACGATTGTGCCGATGAGCGTAAGCGTCTGCCAGTCAACGAACGCTCAGTCGACTGGTATTGTCGACGAGCACAATCACTTTGTAATTATCGAAAGCCGAGACACAGAAACGCGCAAAGCAGTGACGCGCGACGCGGCTGCTAGAGCGCGCGATTTTTCTGCGACTGCAGAGGCGAGAAGCGTTGACGCACACATAAACGCGACATTAATAATACGCCACGCGATTTGTTTACAAGCTCCGGTTATTTTTAACCAACTGAACTTGGGATTGGCCAATAGCTCGGGGAGTGTCGAATAGCGCGCGGCGAGTCATCGGCACGAAATGAGCGTCGACACAATTCGCATAAGACCGACCGCGAGATGCGATAAAAGAGATGTATGTGACAGAGAGTCGTGGAAAAAAAGGAGAGACACGCCACGAAGATCGATGTGAAATCCCACGATCGGAACGCACGTAAAGGCGCGGACTTTCCGGCTGAATTTCAAGTCGAAATTAATCGCGCGCTTTAAGGGGTATTCTGGCTTGAGAAGTCGCAAGAGAAAGGGTATTTTTCCCGAATTTTTTTACAGGGAAACAAAAGTCAAAGAACGTCAAACTTTGCGTATTCTTTTTTCATCTTATTTTACTGTCTAAGTGAGAGGGAAACGTTCTTCTTTTGTATCTTACATATCCTCGTCGTTAGGAGCTCGCAAAAAATGCATACGGACAGTGTAAGCGATTGTATTTCTCTTAGATATCTGAAACGTGCAAGAACGTGAAATTTTCTTATTCAAAAGAAATGTGGCTAATCGTCTGAATTAGAACAGATGTACATTTTTTTTATTAAGACACTAACAACATTCTGAGGAAATAGTAAAATTTTGTAACAGAAAGTAAGACTGCCATTAAGATAAGATAAGATTTTGTCTAAAATGATAATATTGGTTTAATTCTAGTTCAAACGATAGTTATACTTCTGAATAAGAACATTTTTTATTTTTTGCATTTCAGATAGAATCAGAATCACTCGCACCTTCCTATGTGAGCTTTTAGTAACCAGGATATAGCATACGGAAGTAGAGCGTTCATGTCGTTTAGAAAATAAAAATATATTTCTAAAATAAAACATAAAATATATGCAAAATTTGATGTTATCTTGTTTCTCAACAAAAAATGTCAGAAAAGTGCCTTTTTTTGCGACCTTTCGAACGAGGATATTCTCTTAATTAGACACAGAGAATTTGAAAGTTGGAACAACATAAGAAGACGCGTATCGTGGATGTTTGATATAATTTAATTAAAATGCGTAATTCGCGCGACGAAAAGACATTAGTTCAAACACGTCACGATCGCGTCGAAAGGATCTTGAAATATACCTTGCAATTATCAGCTGCACTCTCTCGGCTACACACAGATCGGCAATGGCGAGGATATTATGTTCCTCTCTAACGTTTCAGACAATCCTCGCGCATATCGACATTCGGGACGTCAGCGAGACTTGCTGTCAAGTGAAATCCTGAGGAATTCCCGCGGTCTTCGACGCGGAGACGCTTTGTTTTCTCGTCCACGCGAGAGTTTCAGTCGCGGACGCGAGTCATAGATTGAGGAGGCTCCGTGGCGACGAGAAGGAGAGCCGAGGAGGACACACCACGACGACGATTGCAGGTCGCCCGCGCCAGGAAACGCGCGAAAAGAAGGAACGCCGGAAGTCTGGGCGGAAGATGGAAGAAGCTAGGGAGAAGGCGGCGAGATCGACGATTTTTCCGAGCCGGCTCGGGAATTCCTCGCGTCAGAGCGAATCCTTGCGCTCGTTCCTCCGCTCCGCTTGTCCCGGCCTCTCTTTCGCGACAGGAGGTGCGCGCACGGCGACAGATCGAGAAGCCACCGCCGCGGCTTTTTTCGCACTCGACACTGAGACGATTTTCGTCCGCGCCTTCGCATTTATAGCGCGCGCGGCCGCAGAGCCAGGCGGATCTCCTGCGCGAAACGGCGCGCTTCCCTCGCGAGGCGCCCTTCCGAGGCCTCCGGATAGCTTCCTCCGTGAGCGCACTGAGAGAAAAGACTGGTAACTATAACAAGGATTTAGTTACAGAAATTCGTTGAATCCTTAGTAACTAATACTAAATATGATAATAATTACCAAATATTTAATAGATCGGGAGTATGACGTAATTGCATTTACAGTAACATCAATTAAATAATTTAGTAATAGTTACTTAATGTTAAATATTTAATATGAAATATATTACAGTTATGAACAGATATTTGATAATTGTTATGAAATTGTTGTATCCTATGTAATAAAAGATTCAGTAGGTACGAGTTCTATTTTGTTACCAGTGTAAGTATGTTTTGTTGCAGCACAACGAAAAATTCATTCATTTGCAGCTATTACATCGTTTCAATATCTATTATTACAGATAGTTGGTTGAACCTACCAAAAATTTTGTAACTATTACAAAATCGCTTATTTTGCTCAACTATTCAATAAGTTTTATTTACCAAATATATTCTGGAAGCAAATAAATTTTACTTCTATTAAATAAATAATTTATTTTACAGAGCTAAATTAATTAATAAGTATTGCTATAGCTTTGGCCCGCTATATTTACGTCTACCTTTTAGTAATAGTAACCAAATTTTGATAATATTTACTAAATCCTTCTCTCAGTGCGCGAATTGGAGAATGAGTATTATTCTTAGATGCAGGCCAACTGATTTCCGGCCAATTTACAGTTGACAATTCACGTCGTGTTCCGGAGTGTGGATCCGCAAAATTGTGGATCCCTTATCCAATGCACGGAGAAAAATAATTTGCTGGCCCACAAGGAAAAAACAATTCTGTTGGCGCAACCAAATTTTCGGTTGCTCAAGGACCAGACGAAAATTCGGTTGTAGGAACAGAACAATTCCTTTATGAGGCTTCTGTATAGTCAATTGTTCTCAGTTGCCTCAACTGTTCTGATATCGTTGAATGTTCAGACAAATATTTACGGTTGTGACAACAGAAATATTTTCATAACAGAGATATCGCTTCTGACCACGTAATTTTCAGTTAGTTCCTATTTGGTTACACCAACTGAAATTTTTTTTACGTGCAGCAAATTTTCCGCTGGTCCAGCAAAATCTTTTCGTTATTACATGGACAGCAAAAAGATTTGCTAAGAGTACTAATCACTATTTGCTGAATATAATTTGAATCTACACATTATTTTGCTATAAGAACCATGACGAATTTATATAAGCAGTTGCAGTTTTGCTCCGATAGCAAATAAATTTGCTAAGGAAACATCATTTTGCATCAATAGCAAATTAACGTGATTCATAGGACAAATACACTCAATAAATTTGTTCTATTTTGGCAACGAAACTACTTCTGCTCTGATAGCGAATAATTTGTAAAATTAGTTAATTACGTCAACTAAATTTTTTTGATGTCACGAATATGCAGTAGCAATGACAATTTTGCTAAAAGAGCATTTATTTAATTATTGTTATTTAGCATTATTTTTCTCCATATGCTTATTTTTAACGATAATCTTAGACGACATATTAAATAATATCGTTATCAACAATACGTCGTGGTGCAACTATTATACGTTATCGTAATTATACGTTATTTTGCGCGATATTATACGATACTTGCACCGTTGACCTTAACGTCCGTTATTGTTACGAGCTCCTTTTCTGCAGTAAAAACGATTACGAATTATCACGTTAGTTTTATCGTCATTTTACGCATTCAGAATACATATAGGAACGTGTACGTCTTCAAAACTCAACAATGTAACTGTTGTATAATACATGTGTTGTACATAATTGTACATTATCAAGTAGAAAACCACAACCAACGAATATGTTACATGTAACTTTTTTACTGCTGCATGTTTGCTGAGACGATAACGATAACAACACTAAAAATAATATAATCTCCTTAGCGAGATTTTCTTATATACGGTTTCAAGAGGATTCACTTAAGGGAAAATAGTCTAACAAGGTAAGGTCTCGAGGTGATTCATTTTTGGTTCAAAACTTATGTTGACATATTGTATATGATGTCACTAAAACAGAATGCAAGTTACAGCTCCTATCTTTGCGATATAACAAAATGGCGGTATATTTTTTTTATTTTTTCTGCTACCTTACTGCTGTTTATTAAATAAAAACAGAAAAAATAGAAAAATAAAGAAATGAATAACTAAATAAATACAAAAAAAATTATAAATATAAAAATACAAAAAATTAAAAATATTAAAATACAAAAAAATATTAAAAATAAAAAAAATACAAAAAATTAAAAATATTAAAATATAAAAAAAATTAAAATATAAAAATACAAAAAATTTATTCCCTTGTAAGTACAATATTTCTAAAGTTAAAGGGGTTTTATCTTTTATCCAGTACATGTATTGATTTTAATAGAAATTTCCTCTGAGTTTCTTTAACAGAAATTTTCTCTGGTGAATTTCCTCATTCTGCTTCAAGCATTATTCTTGATTCAAAAGGAAGAAAAAGGTTAGAAAAATATCTGGTAAATTTCCAGTTAATAGCTCACTTTATAAGAGAAAATGTACTCTTTTAATAAAGGTTTTCTCTTAGAAATGGGATTACACGAAACAGAATGTCTTACAAGTAGAATTCCTTTTTTTAAGGGTTAGAATATTTTCTTTTTCGTTAGAAGAAATATATAAGGATTCTGCTGAAGATTATATTTTGTTAGATAGGCAACGTTCTTGAGTCTCTCTCTCTCTCTCTCTCTCTTTCTCTCTCTCTCAGGAATACTTCCACGTGTCGTTTTCGCGACGAGAGGCTCTTCTGCGAATCGCGATAATTACAGCGGAAATTATGAGTAGTGCGCATACATTGGGAGATAAATTAATTTCGTGTCGCAAACAACGGAACTTAACTTCAGCTTCGAACTCAGCGAGACTGCGGCTGTTGGCCGTTGTGTGCGCGTGGGACGCTATTAGTGACGCTAAAAAATTACGATGCCGCGATGCGTCGGACATGGATCATAAATTGAAGTAAATTCGGCAATCAAAAGAGTACATTCTCTCTCATAAAGTGAGCTAATAACTGGAAATTTACCAGATATTTTTCTAACCTTTTTCTTCCTTTTGAATCAAGAAGAATGCTTGAAGCAGAATGAGGAAATCCACCAGAGGAAATTTCTATTAAAGAAACTCATTAGAGGAAGTTTCTATTAAAATCAAGACATACACTATGGATGAAACATAGAACCCTTTTAACTTTAGAAATATTGTACTTACAAGGGAACAGATTTTTTCTGTTTTTCTATTTTAATTTTTTTAAATATTTTTATATAAAAAATAACCGCGGCTCTTATCTCACACGCAGAGAAGGACAAGAACAATGAGCGTCGCGAATAGGAGCGTCATTAGGCGTACTCGCGAGTGACTCAGTTGGCGGGAGCGCCGACTGTGCGTAACGCCAGCCACGGGGCTGAAAAATCACTTAAAGCAGGAACAAAATGTGCAGTTTCATCTCGCAGTTTGCGGTTTCGCGAGATTACGATCTCGGGGCTCTGCCGCCAGATTCATCTCAAAATCGGTTTTCCCGCGGCTTACAAACGCTTTTTTTTCCGCACCGTCACGATACCGATATCCTATTGCCGATGAGTGAAAAGCTAATTCCGACTTCGGCAATAAACAAAGCTCGCGCGTTGCCGAGCAGATTATTCCGGGAAGCAAACATGCTGCGAGCAAGCAAGCAAATTCGATGTTGTCTCACGGCTCTCCTCGACCGGTTTCCGCGTATACCCAGGTAGAACAGAAAGAAGATCACGATAATGTCAAAGTGATGAGTAAATGATCGAGAAGTGAGTATATGACGATTTTTCTGTCGCTTTGACGTTATCGCGATTCACTGTTCCGCGCATCTGACTTTTCACTAGGAAATTATTGTAATCACACTTGAGAATATTTTTCACTACGAAACTCATGTAATCGCTTGGATGTTTTTCCGTATCGTGTACGTATTCGGTAGAGATCGTCGAATTTATTATTCCCGCAGTAATTTATACTGCAAGGTCAGTATAGACCAATTTTACAGAGAACATTGTAAAGTGAAATATCCTGGATAGTATACATTTCTAAAAGATATCTCAAGGTTCTTGGTATCTCCTCAGATAACACATATTGTTTAAAAACGTTTCCGTAACGTTATGCGAATGATTATGAAACGTTACATGCGTTACAAAGCGTGTGTGAAACCAATATTGGGGTCGCGGAATTCTTGATTGATAACGTCAG